AAATATGCACGCTTCCTCTGCTTCTTTTCATATTTCCTAGCACACAGTAAAGCAATAATGAGAGGAACAATGACACAGAAAGCACCAATCAGTGTCACACCAACGGTAATTCTAGCTGTAATGTTATCATAGTCTTCACAGGTATCGCCTTCCCAGCTCCAGTCACATGTACAGCTGAATCCTTCATCTACCATCTCACAGAGTCCATCGTTCTTGCAAGGGTTTGGGTTGCAGTAATCTTTCTCACTGCAAGTCTCTCCTAACCACCCGATCTCACAGTTGCATTCATATCCAGTTGGAATGAATAAACCATATACCAAGGTGCAGTTACCATTGATACATGGTTCAGAGTAACAAAAGTCTGTGAGACGGCATTCATCACCAAAGAACCCCCCAGGACATTCACAAGTGTACGAGTCCTCACCATCTACACATGTTCCACCATTTATACATGGGTTGACTGCACATTCATCTGTCTCCTCGCACTCGTTTCCTGTGTAACCAAATTCACAGTCGCAGACATAATCACTGTCCCCTATAGGTGTACACGAACCTCCATTTTCACAAGGCTCATCATAACATTTATTATACATGTTGCAAGTATCACCGATGTAACCAGGTTTGCATTGGCACTTAAAACCACTCAAAATGTCCTCACACTCACCATTGTTCTCACATGGGTCTGTTGCACATGCACTCTCATACTGGCAGATATGACCCCAGTATTGATCATTACAGTTGCATGTGAAACTGGTCGTACCATCTTGGCAGTTGCCGTCATTGAGACATGGAGCATCAGCACATTCATCTATCTCTATGCATTGTCCATCTGACTCGTATTCTCCAAGATTACAGGCGCACTCGTACTCACGCCACATGTCTTGACATTCAAGTGGATCTTGACATTCAACGTCTTGACATACATATGAGTAACATCCCTCTGTCACACCATCTGAAGGAATTGCAATTGTTCCGTCTATATCACCATCAAAACCGATATAAACATTGTTTATTCGTGCATCGCTCAAACATCCGTTGAAATTATGGGAAAGTGTTCCAGAATCTAAATTACCACCAATGACAAGACTTTCTGTGTCAACCTTCAGTTCTCTGAATACAGCACCAGCATACTCGGTTTGGTGACATGCATCTCCACCATCATCTAATAAGACCAGGAAGTGATTACGCTGTCTCAGCACATGTACAGTATGCCACACACCATTGTTAACTGTCATACCATCTAAGGCAATGATTTGCAGCCCATCTCCAAGGTCATAGTGGACTTGAATAGTGCCATTAATCAGTGCAATTATTATATATTCGAGTCCATCTCTTCCTTCTTCTGATGAGATTCTCCAGATCATTCCATTTGCATCACGGGTACGGAACATAATCTGGTAATCTGACGCTCGGTCTACCAAACTTAAGTTACCATTGAGACTGTATGTGACATAACTATCATCAGCGAAGTCGTATTCCGGAGCCAAAATACTACATCTATCACCATAGTAACCAGAATCACAGATACAGTATGCTGTGTTGAAATCTGCCATACATGTACCATTTATGCATAATGGTTCTTCGTTGTCAAAACAATTAACATCTGCAGCAACGCATCCAGGAACACTATTGACCTCTTGAGCTGGATTGCCCAAATCGTATACCTCACCATCTTGATTAACATTGCGGATGCAGCCGTGGAATCTATCTGTTAAATCAATGCCAATGTCTGGAGGATAGCTGAATGCTGGTTCTTGAGATACCCCTCCAATCTGCAATGCAGTGTTTAGATTCAGAAGCCTGAAACAAGAATAGCATTGGCAATATTACATATGTTGCACAGCTATTGTAAACTGCGGGTTGATGATCAAAGTGTTGCATTTGTACCATGATCGATGCAATGACAACTTATTAGATGGCAACATTATTAAAGACTCTAATCATACCAACGAATCCACATAATTTGCACATGTATGTCTCTCATCATCCTAGTATTTTACAGATAAATTTTAAACAAAATAATATGCTTAGTCCAGCCTAGTGAGTTGTCACAAATCCCATTTCATCATGGTGTTAAATAAAAAAAAGTGTAAAGGTATTGAGTGAATATATTGCTTCTTAGCACCAGCTGGTGATAGATGTAGATGGACAAATCAAACCATATCATACTCTGAATCTCCAGGTACAGTTGATGTAGCAAGACAAGATGATGTGTCTTCGCTACTGAGAGTTGGGAATTCTGTGATCACTGATGTTGCACAGTGGTCTACCATCAACTCAACATCTTTGCCATTTCTATATATATCTACTCGATGCCATTTTCCATCATCTAATCGTGGAGATTCTGGTATTTCCATGTGTACCATTCCAGATCCAAGATCTATGCTGAGTTGTATTAATCCATTTACTAATCCAACAGCAATATAATCAGGTTGTAAAACCGAGTATGAAGACATTGGGCCGTTGTACATAAGTAAACCATTGTCTTCACTAGTTAAAAATTCTATGCTTGTATGTGACTCTCTGCATGACTGTAATGCTGAGTACCAAGCGTAGCCATCCCCAAAGAAACTCCTGCTAATGTCCTGGCACTGTGGACCAGTGTATCCAGAGGGGCAATTACAGCGATAACTGTATTCCGTTGCTATGCATTGCCCGCCATTTCTGCAAGGATTTGGATCACATGTGGTTTTTTTGCAAATCTTTGATTGGCAGAGACATTCTGCTGTGGTGGATGTTGTGATGGAAACTGAGAGTGAAGCAGATCCAGACTCCACCAATGCATCTTGGCTGTCATCCACTCGAAATACATTGCTACAGCTTCCACCCTCACATTCAGTCTCATCCATGCAGTCATTAATATTTACTAGAGTAATGTCTAAGTTAGCTTCATCTTTGAACTGTAAATAACAATATGGAAATTATGTTATGATGTCATTATAATTGCCCATGATTTCCTACTAATGACCTCTCTTGACATAGTTACAAGGCAGGGGCGTATAGAAATATATATATATAACGTTTGTGAATATAACAATTTCAACAACATAAGTTGTTTTTTTGTTTCTGATAGTTGTTAGTGGTTCCTTGTACGCCAAGCTCTACTCGTGTTTAGCTTACCCTGTCTATATTCGTTACAATGATAGCATCAAGTGCCTCTGGACGATATCCTCGTATATTGTATCTGACATCTGTTAGCCGTACACCAGATAATACAACACTAAAGACATTGATATGGATGACATCAATGGACAGGATATCAGCAAGTATGTCTGTAAAGTTCTGCAATGGGCTGTTTGTCCCTGGTTGGGGTATCATAATAAACTCCTCCGGTGTGATGTCATTAAGTCGAAGGGAAGCAGAATCATATACAGCGTCATCAAATATGTATATGACGTCAATAATGACGTCACATATCTGTGTATCATGTTCATTGTCTTCAACTGCAACTTGATACTGATATGAGCCTTCAGGAGTTCGTTCATCAGTTATTGTAATCGTTCCAGTCGTATTATCTACCTGCAAAATGTGACATTTGGTATTTGCATGTTTATTGTATTAAAAACCATACCTCGTATCATAAGTATTTTCTGGCGGAAAATGACAACAATGTTCTATGTTGCTGCTGCTTCTCCAAACGTTATTCTGCTGGAGTTGTACCTTTGTAATAATGTTACGTCATACCAATCATCTTTCATAATAATATTAGTACTAACCTTAAAATAATCTGAGGTCCCGTTGAATATATACATTTTATCATCATTTGCATAATCATCCGGATCGGGAGCGAAAACTGAACCTATTACCCGTGATGCACCGCGTCCTCTATATTGGTACACTGTGATTTGAGTCACTCCAGCAACATGCGCATTATCATTTAAATCACCAATTTCTATTGTCAGTGTGCTAGTGTCTGACAGGCCATGTACGTCTGCAATAATGATATGCATGTAGTAATATGCCTGTTCCTCTCTGTCAAATACAGATGTTGTATTAATTTCCAGTGTATCTGAAAGAAAGTATTAATCAAAAGTGTATTACGAACTGAATAAATATCTCTCAGCTACAATAATTTATATACAGTTTATTCTCGTGTTCACATTCAGCTAAATTAGCCTGTCATGGGTGCAAGAAAATTGTGTCCACTTATGTAATATAGAATAATTACCAAAACAAATATGAAAATAGACACGCATATTAAAATTGTGACGAGCAGTTGTGCTTCGAATATTTTCATATAGATTCCTGTTAATTTAAAGACAATACTGACTAAATATACGAAGCTGTCTAGCTGTATATAGGTACCATTTTTTTGACATGCTAGTCAGTTCCCGGAGTTCTCGCTGGACTCGAGAAGCTCACTACATTCAAGTGCTGGCACCTTTTAGCACTCTGTATATGACGGACTACTCATTGATATATTTGAATCAAGACCATCTTTAGTAGCTTCACAACTTGCAAGTGAATTTGTTAAACCTCAAACTCTAGCCACACCAGATTAACGGTTTCCTGGGAGCACTCAACAGCTAAAAATTATTTTTCAAATTATGAACAACGATATGAGTATAATGTTATTTCTAAATTGCTACGTCATATGTATACGTCATATGACTTCAACGATGTTTAATAGACCAGTTTAACCTATTAAAACCATTATGGATATTCATAATAACACGAAGAATTTTACTTATACTCGGACTGGAATAATATTTTTTAATCGTCATTCGAAATAGATTCAAAGAAGTCAATGTCCAGTAATAACATTATACTTACTATTTACTTGTCGATAATCAAAGTAATCGTCAATATTGTTCGAATTATCAACTGTGTATGTGTAAGGTGGTCCATTAACTGCGGTGTCTGCATCTATGGCAGATACTACAAATACGTCCTGCTGTGGAAGGGAATTCTCGATAAGGATTGGTCGGTAATCCTCGGCAAACATCGGTGCGTTGTCGTTAACATCTTCCAAAGTGACGATAAATTCAGCCGTGCTTGATAGTGTAGGTTTTCCTGCATGTTATTACAATAGTTGGCGGTGAGTTGAAAAAGGATAGATCTCAAAATTGCACAATAAACATAATTTCAATGGTGTGACTAGCTTAACGTTCTTTCCAACAGTCACTGTACGCCATTCTCCCAACTTGGGATGATGCGGGTCTGGTAAGTGGTCGGAATACAAGTATACGTATTTATCATTGTTGAATGGGCAGCCGCAGTTACCCCCACCGCTCCCCGCCTGAAGTTAGCCTGACACGCCGCCAGCCTTTAAGCCACACATTGCATGCAACGTTAAGGCATTACAATGACATACCATATACGATATATACATGTGTGTTACGTCGTGGTTTAAGCTATACAATTTTAGGTGTTACTGTTTATAAATTACCTTGATCTGTGGCCACTATATATAGTGTATGAATGGATGTATATTCCCTATCAAGTTCAGCTGCAGTGGTAACCGTACCCGTATGCTGGTCTACTTCGAACTGTCCCAATGGGTCGCTAATTGGATCAATTGAATACCTACAATGATAGTAAAAACTTGAACACTATCATAAAAGCTCTATCTGGAGTATATATCTGATTTCTTGATACAGATAACATACTCAAGAATCCCCATCCTACTGTGTATAATATTTTTTTGACATGTTCATAATCCATATATTGCTGCTTAAATTCATTGACGGTTATTTGTTTTTAGTTCTGTTCATTTATCTGACATTCAGACACGAGGTTAATCTGTTGATGCATATATATATACAGTACAGATCAGGTTTGCCCGTTTGACCCATAATGACCTCTGACTGTATCCGTTACAGCTATTGATTGTACTGTTCAAACACATTTTTTTTGAAAACACAGAATCGTGTGTCAGACGTGCTCAAATGAAATCAAGATCACGAGTCGCTGAGTTTACTAAACTAACCCTCGAACACCGGAAGTGAAGTAATCTAATTTCACGTGGCTTGGATCTATAAGGGAGTGGGCTCGTCGAAATCATACAATACGTTGTTTATTGAACTTATAAAACTGAAGGAAGACGAAAAAACTTACATGACGTCACCGTTATCATCAGTTGCAGTAACTGTACCCAACTCTGTTCCTATGGTAACATTCTCAGGAAAATTAACCGCGTATGTGTCTGGAGAAAAGACTGGAGACAGTTCGTTGATATCTTCGATAACAATCAATAATGTTGATATATCAGTCTGGATACCATCACTGACTCCTAACTGTAAGTTGTATCGTCTGGGCTGATAAGGATCTTCATAGTCAAGTTCCTGCAATAATGAATTAGTAATTAATGTACAAACTGCCGTATCATACGTAGCTATGTCAGTATGTTTAATAAAAGTTTTCTATTTTTATAATTAAGTCATGGCCAGTGTTCACTTTTTCGATAAATATCGGTTAATGGGTATAACAGTCACAATTCTGCATTGTTTCTGAAAAAAAGTTAACTCTACATAATCCTGAAAAAATAATTACCGCGCAGCCTACATTAATATCTTATATTTAAATATCCCGGGATATAATATTGTGCTATCTTTTGGTGACACAATGTCCTGCTGTGAGTAACTCATAAATAACCAAAAGACAAAATAGTCGAACGTTGTTAAAACCTCAAAATGCAGCATGCATAATGTTGTTGTCTGAAATGAGGTAGCTATAAGTATATTTATACCCGTGAACTAAACCTCTATATTAGAAGTTGCCCTGTCGGAAAATGATTTGTAGATGCATCCCCTGGAGTGGTTTGCTGGAACTATAGCTAAATACGAAAAGAAAACCATACTACCAAGGAAAATGTCACAAACATAGATACCAATCCGATTAAAGTAATATCGGTGCTGTTACTTGCATTTTTTGTTAATTTATTTATATATTAATAATCATTAATTTCTCTTTTTAGTTTCATTGTTCTCCATACGAAGGACAATTGTCAGAAATAATAAAAATTAATACTAGAAATTGATGATTAATAAAAAAATATATATATAAACAAATTAATTTGAAAAAATAAATAAGTGTATTAACCCTTCAACAAAAATATTATTTTATTAACATCAACGCAGCCAAGTATTAAATTTGTCTCTGGAACTCGTATAAATGCTTCGTTATACATCTTATACTACAGGTGCCCGAAATGGTTGTGATGATTTTTACTAAAACTATTGTATTGAATTATAAGGTTACTGAACACCTGATACATACGGAGTCGTGCTCACCCTCATTAATGTAACCACGCCCACATTGTTGTTATTCTCAATGTCAAATGTGTCATTTTCATTTCCACCAACAATGTAATACGTCAATATGAAATCTGTGTCGCGATCTGTGGCAGTCACGCTATACACCGTAGAAGCCACTTCTGCATCCTCATTAACGGTTGTAAAGTAAGACGTGTGGGAAAACTTGGGCGCCATGTCGTTAATGTCTTGGATGACGACTGTTGCTGTTGCCGTTGCTATGGGAACATATCATAAAAGAATGGATGTTGTAACTGACAAAAGCCATACATAACTTATTATTTTGATAGCGTCATTCTTTATTCCATTATTTATGTGTAAACATATCACATCTAACATAGGCATGCAATGTCATTGTCACCAGTCTAGGAAGTACCTCCAGCACCACCAATTACAGCGTACATCTACACCAGCAATCACAGCGTGTCTCTATCACCACCAATCACAGCGTGCCCCTATAGCAGCACCAATCACACAGAACCACCAGCACAACAAATCACAGCGTGTCTCTAGCACAACCAATCACAGCGTGTCTCTGGCACGACCAATCACAGCGTGTCTCTAGCACAACCAATCACAGCGTATCTCTGGCACAACCAATCACAGCGTGTCTCTAGCACAACCAATCACAGCGTGTCTCTAGCACAACCATACCATGAATTACTTACCACTCTGGGATCCACCATCTCGTGCCTCTACAACAATTTCATAAATTTCAACCTCTTCTCTGTCCAAGTCACTGACTAATATACTGATTTCACTGGTAGCGGAATTGATTTCAAATATAGCGTCAGTACCATTCCAGAGGGCGTTCTCTATGATTGTATATTCTATTCTGGCATTTCGGTCAGTATTGATGTCATCTAGGTCTTCCGCCAGTACTCTCATAACACTGGTGCCTAAGTCGGAATACAATGCGAGTTACCGTAAAACGTAAGCGTGCGTGTTACGGGTTTTCGTTGAATTGAAAAAAAAATGGAGCACATTTTCATCACACTTGATGGCTCTTGGAGTCGTAAATTAAACAGTCACGTAGTTACAATTCGGAGCTATGTGTCAAAAATGTCAAATAAGACTAGCGGGTGGGAAGTGTCGATTTTATCAGTCGAAGATTTAATCTCAGAAAAGAATGGTGGAGATATGTTGATTGACCTACCTGTCGGAGAGTGTTCAATTACCGAGCCTATGTATGGTTCATATGGAAATAATGGCGAATTGTCATTGATGTCCAATAATTCAACGATGACGTCAGTGTATCCAGATTCTCCTTGACCCCCATCATCAGTTGCTATAGCGACAAGATGATATACCGGTGTCGTTTCTCTGTCTAAAGGTTTAATAGCTTCTATGGCACCAGTAATAGGATCAATACTGAAATAATGCTGTGAAGTATTCTGCAGACTGTACCAGATATCTGTATCTCCATCCGGGTCAGAAGCACCTACCTGTATGAGCAGAATCAGTGATGGTTACATATGCAGTCTAAACTGTCGAACATTAAAGCGTGAGAGTGTTCAGGGTCAAGTGTTATGTATTGTTCATATATTGCACAACCGTGTAAAGTCAGCATGTTTCTGTTGTGGTTATTATCACGGTTGTGTTGTGTTTTATGTGCATATCATTTATACACGCTATTGCATATATTCTAGGTCTGGACCCCGGGGTATTTAATGTGGTATGGATTTTGAGATGAAAATGGTCTGTGATGGTGTCTGTCGTTTTATTCCCGGCCGCACCCCATCCCCCACCAAACTGTAAGGCCAGTGTACCCCCGGGTCTGGACACCATAGTGTACATATTTGGTGCTATCCACATAATTATTCATCAACACAAGTTTAATAAATTGGGAATACTAATATTTTTTGTACAACATTTTTGTCCACTGCTTTTGTTTTTACGAACATCCTCACCGTTGTAACATAAACCGGTACATTCTCATCCTCTTCTGTGATGCTGGATAAATAGAGATCTTTGTCAAATTCCGGTGCAGCGCCCCTTACGATAAGAATCGCCGACAATACAACTGACAACAGTAAATACGTGTGGATATGCCTTCTGTCAGACATGCTGACGTCACTGTGGATCTATACTGGAGATAAGCAATTGTTAATGACATCATCGTCTTTCGAGTGTCATGTGAGAATGACTAGTTTGGAGTGGAAAGGTTGATGTACGAAAGAAGTAATTACGTCAGTGAATAATACACCACATGCTGGCATTATTTTTGCCTTGATCCAAATGTGATATTTGGTAACTTCAACGAAAATTTAGATTACTATAAATCATTTACTAAACTAATGGTAGAATTCCACTGTATTGAAACCTGAGAGTCAGGCAAATTGCACTGCTGTATCCTGTGTCCATTTGGAAAAAGTTTTACAGATTATGCGTAACAATACAATACAATATATTCCAAACGAATTCGTTACAATTTTAAGACATTTCTATGTTAGGAAATTAAGGTGCGAACAAGTTCGTGATGTAAAACCGTTGTAACAAACAAAACAAACACAATGCTGTTTTTATCACGTATGATGTCATGCCTCCATATTTGGAAGAGGAGTTGATTTGTTAGCACATTGAACATCTCATATGTTGTGCGTATATGAGGTCATAATATAGAAACGGTTTTCTAGAATAGGTCACTGAAAATAACATATCCCCGTTAGTATTTTTAGCTCCGCTGTCGACTTTGTCGAACGGAGATTATCATATGAGTGTCTGTCAGTGGCGTCCGCGTCAATTTTTTCGCTTTTTCGACTTCTTCTTGAAGGCTAAAAATCTGATTGATTTGATACTTGGTGTATATGTACCTTGGTTAGACCACTCTTAGATTAGTTCATTTCATGATTTGTTCATTTCATGATGATATCTTCAATATCAATTTAGATGATGTTTTCAACTTCTTGTTGAAAACTGCAAGTCCGATTGCTTTGATATTATACAATTTTGATGAACATTATGATATTTTAATTAAGAATGTGCACAAGAAAACTATTTTGATATTAAGTAGTGATCTAGGTCTCTCACTGATGATTTTATTTGTCATTTTCCATGATAGTGTGCGTCGTGCCTTATAAAGTTCTACCGTTCATATCACGTGACCAATTTGAAAGAAATACCACAAATCGACCTTTATTTTTCATTTTATGTTAAATTAGATTTGTGTTAGGTCACTATACTATTCCGCTAAAATGTTGCCATCGTTATGTGGTTATTTAAATAAAAAATGTTCGAAACCATGGCGTCCAGATGGGAGTGAAAGCTTTCGGTTCCGTGTGTTTTTCCTGTCCACAGCATTATTGTCGCTACGACTAGAGGATTACCGCGAGATGTCGGGAACTTACCTTCTTCCAAGATCTGTAATTCTATTTTTTGCCTGTTGATCTGCGTAAAAGAAATAACAAAAATAAAAGATGTACAGGGGTTATATATGTTCCTGGTTATACTAAAATATAAGTTTGGAGGTTTAAAGTTTCTTTTTTCTTGTAATTACGAGGTTGTTAAATTACACCACAAATTACCAGGTATTTATGGAGATATACTAAAATTTTGGTCACAGTTAAAAGCTTATAAAGCACCCAGTAATCTCAAAGAAATGATATCAGAAATATTATGGAATAATAAGAATATTTAGATCAATGACCATTCAGTATGTTATATATCAGATGGCTAAATGAAGGGATAAAGTATGTAAGTGATTTGTTGACAGAGGATTCTAAATTTTTGTCTTTTCCTTATTTTATCACAAAATATGACAATATCACTGATTTTTTTGACTTATAGGGGAATTATTGAAGCTATACCAAAAGTATGGAAGAATGTTATATATCAGGAGAACTGTTCTCTAACGATTGATAATAGAGGCATATCTAGAAATTATGTCAATATTGGAAAAGAAAAAACAAAAGATTTCTTTTTATTATTAGTGAAGAGAAATTCTATGATCAAATTTAAGGGGAAAATATGCAGAGGAAATACAGGAAAATGATTTGAAAAAAAATGGGTATTGCCATATAAAGTGACAGTAGAAGAAAAATTAAGAATATTTCAATTTAAAATTCTCCATCGTATTTCGGCAACGAATTGTTATTTGTATACTATTAGGATTAAAACTGATAACAAGTGCGACCACTGTCAGCAAATGGAAACTATGGAACATTTATTTTGGAAATGTAGGGTAGCCCAACAGTTTTGGAAAAATTTCCAAGACTTTTGAAGATTGCGAATGGGTGACAGTATACCTATGACATGTAAAACAGTTATTTTTGGACAAATAGCAGATAATGACACATTGAACCATTTAATTTTATTAGGGAAGTACTTGTTGTATTCAAGCCGTTACTTATCCTGTAAAGTAAACATTGTCAACAACATTGTCACTGTCAAAATACAACAAGTGGGGTAATTTTAGAGTATAGCAATTGTCATTCTTTATTTTGTTTCTTCTTTGGGAGTGGGGGTAGACTTTGATTGTGTTTCCGTTTTGAACCTGAACGTTCTCTATAAAAGTTCTCTTCGAATTTGGGCCTTCTTACCTTTGAACTGTATATTGTACCATTATTTTTTGTTTGTTTGTCATTTTTTTTTAAAAAAAAAACTGAAAAAAAAATTAATAAAAAAAAAATTATAAAAAAACAACAACAAAAAACAAAACAAAAAAACAACAACAGGGGTTAGCGCAATTGAAATCTGGGAGTGGCGGAAAAATTTAATTTTTATTTTAGTCACATGTGACTCGTTACAATTTTGCATATTCTCATTCATTCTAATTGTGTTACTTTCAACTATAATGCCCGAAGGGAGGGGTTACTCACTAAAAATGATAGTAGCTACCAGCTCTCTACCCTTGCCAAGTCAACCAAAATGCGAAAACGTATACACTTTGACAATTTTCAACGACACGGGTTAAGTATTATATCAGCCGTTTTCCCATCATTTTGGACTGTTTTTGTATGGCTAAATCAAAGCTTCTTGTCACCTTTGCTTAAAAGGGGGTCCCATCTAGACACCATAGCCCCAAAATACGGTAGATACGATTGTCAAATGGAAGCAAATGATCCTTGGTATTTTGTGTGGTTAACGCCTAGTTTTGAAGTTGGCATCCATGATGTCTGATTCACATGTTGCATCTCTTGACATTATGGTTAGTACTCACCCAATTATATGCTCTTAACATATACTATAAAAATACATATTTTCACTTGTATGTTTTATTCAACTCATCATACACATCCGTCATAATGTGCTAAATCTATTCCATTTACACAGTGTTTGCATTTAATATGACGTCAGTGTTAGTCTGACTCCGATTTCCCAGGGACGTATGATTGGGATAATGACGTATTACGTGAGCACCCTGCGCCAGTTATCATAGTACCTACTAATCGTGTTAGTTGTTATCCGCACCAAAATTGTCAATCAACTAATATTCGGTACAGGTATTATCTATTTCATATAAACAACAGACGTATGATTTCAGAAAGGACAAAATAGCCATTAAGTTCACTCCAGGTTCAATACAATAAGTGTGTCCGATGTCAAAATAAAGGTCGAAAGTATCTGAGTATCCAAGCTAAGTTTTGTGACGTCAATTTCACTTGTTGCATGCTTTCAATTTCAATCGTTTGGAATATGCTGCATATTTTCACCACCACTGTCAGTTGGTGACCGTGCCATTGATTGGCTGAGAAATATAGCTTGGTAATAACCAATGTGGCAATTTCAGTCGTCTCAGTGGAAATCGTATCATTTGGTCGGAATCCTCGTGCATGAAAATTAAAAACTGTCCAATGATCAAAAATAGTTGCTGCAACGATGAAAAACTTTCATGATGTAATATAGTAATGATATTCATATAGAAGGCAAAATGGTCGTTGAGGGCGGTAAAATAATTTGAGTTCTAGATAATAAATTTCTCCCAGGGCACTCAGTAAAAGTACATGGCATCCTTTTTTGAATTCTAAACTACCGTGACACCCCCTGTATCCCAAGGTAGAAGAAAATGACAAGTCCCGTATCATCCGACGAACCATCGTCGTCTTCGTTCATTTCGCGAATCTCAACTTATGTAAAATCGAATGAAACCAAACATAATTATTAGTCTTAGACTTATTAATACAGCTTACAAACGACACCCCTACTATGTGATCAGCACAGCATTATAGATCAACAGTTCTTTCACGTTGTCAGTGTAATCGTTGTATTACTTGTCCATGTTTATTTGCCACTAATAAAATTTATGGTTCCAAAGGTTGTATCAATACACGCAATTCTTTGACGTGTCTGTCATCCAATTAAATTTATTGTATTATTTATAAATGTTATAGTGTGTACGTGGGTGAGACAGGTCGCCGCTTCAGACTATCGCAATTTCCATACAGCACCCCGTGTTATAAGAGTATCAAAGGTACTATGATTGTTAACGGTGACCAGTGGCATGAATTTGGATTGTAACTTTTTAATTTACTCTGGATGTTTGGTTTTCCCAAGGTACACACACACATACCTATCGCGAAAAGGAGAAACCACTCCCGACAATCACACTATTACTGTATGTACTGTAATAGTTACGGAACATTGCTCTAACTGAAACTCGTAAATATTGCAGTTGCTTCGAGTTCAGTGACACCTATAACCTCGGACTACTAAAAGAAGTGGTCTGAACTATAGCGCGGCTTAACCGTAGTAACCATAGTAACACCGGACGTGATATATAGTACATAGTGTTTGGTAATCGTCCTACATTACTATTAAAAACTGCTAGACGTGTCGAGCTATGGCTCTTTAACTATAGCACAGAAAATCTGACCTCACGAGAATACACCTGTGTTAATCACATTATAGGTTTTTGTTCGGCGTTGAACATATTTTTTCTGACCTGATTCATTGTCAATTACTTATCTATTTTCATAGCTATAAAATATTTAATACTGTCACTCGGCTTTGTAAACTTGATCTAATATGATAAAATCAAATAGTTGTTGACACAAAGGCATTAATTCGTTGGTTGTAGCACAGTTCCATTTGGTTGGGTTAACATTTTGGTACTATTTCACGCAGACGT